GGAGGGTCAGTACTGAGGGAGTGCCGCACTGTCGGAGGGTCAGTACTGAGGGAGTGCCGCACTGTCGGAGGGTCAGTACTGAGGGAGCACCGCGCTGTCAAGGGGTCAGTACTGAGGGAGCGCCGCACTGTCAGAGGGTCAGTGCTGAGGAAGCACTGCACTGTCGGATGGTCAGTACTGAGGGAGCGCTGCACTGTCGGAGGGTCAGTACTGAGGGAGTGCTGCACTGTCGGAGGGTCAGTACTGGGGGAGCACCACCCTGTTGGAATGTTAGTACTGAGGGAGTGCTGCACTGTTGGAGGGTCAGTACTGGGAGAGCGCCACCCTGTTGGAATGTTAGTACTGAGGGAGTGCTGCACTGTCAAAGGGTCTATGCTGAGGAATGCAGCATTGTTGGAGGTTTAAACTTTCTGGGAGACTGAGGATCAGTCTAGCTGCTAGAGTGGATGTTTAAGATCCGACAACTACTGTTTGGAAGAACAGCAGGGTCATTATTCTTAATTAAATGAGCAGTACCTATCCCTCAACCAGTATTATAAAAACAAACTATCTGGTTATTATAACATTGTACTTGTGGGAGCTTACTGTGGGCATAGCAACTGCTTTGTTCCCTGCTTTAGAACAAAGAACAAAGAAAATTACAGCACAGGAACAGGTCCTTCGGCCCTCCAAGCCTGCGCCGATCCAGATCCTCTATCTAAACCTGTCATCTATTTTCCAAGGATCTGTATCCCGCTGCTCCCTGCCCATTCATGTATCTGTCTAGATACATCTTAAATGACGCTATCGTGCCCGCCTCTACCACCTCCACTGGCAACGCGTTCCAGTCACCCACCACCCTCTGCATAAGGAACTTTCCACGCATATCTCCCTTAAACTTTTCCCCTCTCACCTTGAAATCGTGACCCCTAGTAATTGAGTCCCCCACTCTGGGAAAAAGCTTCTTGCTATCCACCCTGTCTATACCTCTCATGATTTTGCAGACCTCAATCAGGTCCCCCCTCAACCTCCGTCTTTCTAATGTAAATAATCCTTATCTACTCAACCTCTTTTCATAGCTAGCGCCCTCCATACCAGGCAACATCCTGGTGAACCTCCTCTGCACCCTCTCCAAAGCATCCACATCCTTTTGGTAATGTGGCGACCAGAACTGTACACAGTATTCCAAATGTGGTCGAACCAGAGTCCTATACAACTGTAACATGATCTGAGACAGTAGGAGCTGCAGATGCTGGAGAATCTGAGATAACAACGTGTAGAGCTGGATGAACACAGCAGGCCAAGAAGCATCAGAGGAGCAGGAAGGCTGACGTTTCGCGCCTAGACCTACCCCGTCCGATGAATGAAAGCATGCCGTATGCCTTCTTGACCACTCTATCGACCTGCGTTGCCACCTTCAGGGTACAATGGACCTGAACACCCAGATCTCTCTGTGCATCAATTTTCCCCAGGGCTTTTCCATTTACCATATAGTTCGCTCTTGAATTGGATCTTCCAAAATGCATCACCTCGCATTTGCCTGGATTGAACTCCATCTGCCATTTCTCCGCCCAACTCTCCAATCTATCTATATTCTGCTGCATTCTCCGACAGTCCCCTTCACTATCTGCTACTCCACCAATCTTAGTGTCATCTGCAAACTTGCTAATCAGACCATCTATACCTTCCTCCAGATCATTTATGTATATTACAAACAACAGTGGTCCCAACACGGATCCCTGTGGAACAACTCCCTTCCACTACAACCCTCTGCCTCCTGTTGCCCAGCCATTTCTCTGTCCATCTAGCTAGTACACCCTGGACCCCATGCGACTTCACTTTCTCCATCAGCCTACCCTGGGGAACATTATCAAACGCCTTACTGAAGTCCATATGAAGTCCATTATGATAGTTGAAACAACTTAAAAACAGTAATTGTTTGAAAAGTGCTTTGGGACATCTTGAATTCATGAAAGTCACTATGAAAATGCAAGATCTTTCTTTGTTTGCTGGAGATTGGAGCAGACAATGACAGGCCTGACTGAACACTGAACCTCGCTTCTCTACAACATAGATGCTGCTTGGTTTCAGTTCCTAAGCCAAAGCTAAGCCCTGAGTCACTAGGAAAATACTCCAGATGCTGGAAATCTAAAATCAAAACATAATGTGCTGGAAATTATCAGTGGTATGACAGAAAATTAAGTTCTAACGAAACCTCATATCTTTAAATGATTCTCTGTTTCTCACTTCACAAATGCTGCCAGACCAACTGAATATTTCCAGCACTTTGGCCAGGCTTTGCTAATTGGTCTCCACATTGCAAGGTGAAGCTTGGAAAACAAGCTTTGGACTCAGTTTACTGCTCTGCGAAACTGCCCAGTATCAGATGAGTCAGTCTGACGGACTGATTGAGGGAAGGAGTCACCTTTGTGAAGTTCCAGCGTTGGATGAAATGCCGTGCCACACTGCGAGCGGCCTTCCCATGCACTACTGCAGCGATGTCATGCCAAGGCATTCTGGGAGTGTTATAGCGGTCGATGAAATCTGAGGGACAGACGGAGATGTTAGTCAAGGGCTGTGAGATCAGAATCCGAACAGGGTCACATCCCTGGATCAGTGGGCAGCCACACCACGTTGATGAGAACACAGGGAATTGGAAATCAGGAAGGTCTCAGGCTCTATCCCAGGCCTGGTTCTGGTGGTACTTTGTGTAATTTGCTTCTGGATATTTAGATGAGTTGCATGGCGTATTGTGGAAAAATCATTGATTGTTTGAAGAATTTGGCCTTCCTTTTGCAACATCTCTCCTACTCAACCCATAACACCAACTATTCACCCCTGAAGACATGAAAAGTGGAGGCCATTCTGTCCCATTCAACAAGATCCTAGTAGATCAGCAGATTCCTACTATATTCCCACCTCAGCCCCATAATTCTTAATATCTGTGGGTCACAAAGTGTCTATCATATAGAAGATGCACTGCAGCATCTCACAAGGTTCCAATGACTTGCCTTTAAAACACATGGTGTCGACCAGCGAGAGCCGCATTCCATTTACCTTCTCAATTACTTCGTGCATTCTAACTTTTAGTCATTCATGTAGGAGGACACCCAGATCCCTCTGCACCTCAGCATTCTGCAGTCCCTCTCCATTTAAACATTTAAGAACTCATATCCACCAATGGTGGAATGTCACAAAAATGGTGGATGCACAAGCGCCACATAGACACCTCAGGGGAAAGGCTTGAGGTGTGTATAAGAGAGAGAGGCGAGGCCATGAAGGGTTTTGCAAAGATGAGAATTTTAAAATCAAGTTGTGCCAGACTAGGTACCAATGCAGGTCAGGGAGCTCACAGGGCATTGGATGAAAGGGACTTGGAATGAAGGGATGATCAGCCATGATAATATTAAATGGTGAAGCAGGCCCAAAAGGCCGAAAGGCCTATTTTCTATATGTCTATGGTAAGTTAGGACATGGGGGCAGCGAGCCATGATTAAAGACATCAAGAGTATCTGTTGTGACTTAACTCACCGTCAAATGGTTTGTCCAACTGGACCCAGTCCTTGTAGACAAAGTTGCAATAGTCCTTTCCATGCCAGAACCTTGTCTGTCCGACCAACTCTTCAATATTTGCGTGTGGACCACATGCTGAGCTCCTGTCTGCCTCAGAATTTACAACAAAGATGTAAATAAAATATTCAACATGTATACAAATGGATTTCCCAGAACCACTGCATTTCTTTTAGATTTGGGGGAGCAGCAAATGTTTACTATCTGCCAGTGACCCACCCTATTCTAATTTTCTTGAAATACTTCTGTTTATTAGCTCTGGAACTATTAGAAATGGTCAAGACGTAGCTGTGGGATTGTCTAGAGCAAATTAATTAAGGTAGCAAAGAATCTGAGTGACTGTCACAGGGCACCATGATGTGTCAGGTAAGTGATATGGTGGGAATATGGTGGGGAGTTGAGGACTGTGGGGCAAGGAAGGTTGGAGGATTCCAACTTTCAGCAACATGCCCAGAAGTGAAGAAGCTAATGCAGGTTGGCCTGAAAAGTAATTTGTTGACTCAAAGGCCTCTTCAGTTATAGCATGTCCTGCATTCATCTGTCCAGGCAGCATGCTGGTACCTGGTATTGCAGGTTTAAGGCCTACACTAACTGGGTCAGATGAGGCCTGCACTGACCCAGACATGAGCTGAGGCCTGCAATGACCCAAGCATGAGCTGAGGCCTGCACTGACCCAGACATGAGCTGAGGCCTGCACTGACC